TCACCAGGTACTAATGAAGGCTGTAGAACAGCAAGTTTCACCTCGGAGGGGATGGGTTAGCATGCTAACGACTGGATTGTGCATCTTTCATGTCTTCTCCTTTCCCACACTGCTGTCTGATGATAGCTGTAGGGTCAGTCATCTTTCAGTCTGTACTTAGTCTGTTAGCTTTGGGCTGCAAGGAGAATGTTTGGCCCACAGTAGATTGCTGTCTGCTGATCAGTGTGCATCCCACTCATGAAAGATGAAAGCCTTTTAAAAAGCAGGAACCTTTAGGACCAGATTTATGCCTTCAGTGTTCTCCAGCATCTCTACTGAGGACACAGAAGGATCATGTGGACTCAACTTTCATTGCTGCTTTCTCACTGCATGTGGCTGTGAGACAGATCTACCCAATGACCATGTTTCAGTGCATCTGAAATGCCTGTAATAATCCTTAATAATAATTTGTCTTTAGCTATATTCTAAAGATAATCCTAGTTAAATATTGTTTATAATATTGTTTGGAATTTTTTTCGGATGTGGTCTTTATTTCTATTCTGCCATTTTACCTTCTTAACAGCTATTACAGAGCTTTATTGTATTTTGATTTGTAACAGATACATGTGACAAAGGAGGGAAATATCTGCATGAGTAGTTGCTATTTTCTAGTAACTTCTTTTGGTATATGCACTTTAATATAAGTATATAAGCACACATTACCTAAGCATTTGTTTGTTTTTGAGGTCAACTGTGATCTATCCCAAGGACCATACATGCTCTTTGAGAGCACAGCAACAAATTCAGAACTATTGTAGGTTAAAAATCCTCTGCCTTTGTGCACTGAGGAGGGAGAAGTGTAATTTCTGTTACATGTGAGAATATAATCCTCTTGATTTTAGGGTCCTGAAACACATAGGTGTGTGTTCATAGTTACAGACTAATTAAAATTATCTTACTTGCTTTATTTTTGCAGTATAAGTGCAAAAATAGATCATGTTAGCGTGTGTGTGTGGGAATACTTCAGTGTTTTGTTTTTGAACTCTACCAGGGAATCCAGCGTAGAATCACAGTCACCATTATCCACGAGAAGGGCAGCGAGTTGCACTGGAAAGATGTGCGAGAGTTGGTTGTTGGTGAGTGTATTGATTTGCATGTTCCTACACAAGGAAGAAACAGTACTAATGGTAATTCCTCTTTGTACTGGATTCTGTCATCCTTATGAGTATTGGCTGAGAGAGGAGGATTTTGAAAAAGATCCAGAGGAAAAACTTAAGTTTTGCAGCTTTCTCTTACAGCTGCTTTTTAATCATATACTCCAAAATTATATTTGGGAAACAAATTCCTTCTGTGTTCAGGTTTACTTTCAATTGATTCCCCCTCCTTCCTTTTTCAGGACGTATAAGAAATAAAGCAGAGGTAGATGAAGCTGCTGTGGATGCTGTTCTGTCTTTGAATATTATCTCTGCGAAATATCTGAAGTCCTCTCACAGCTCCAGTAGGTAAGTGAATAAAGTGAGTGCTCTAGCAGGAATCTGAAATTCCTTTGACCTCTGAGGTATTGGCAGGATGTTTGGAAAGCTGGCAATTTTGCTAATTATGAAATGTAGAACTCAGTGGGCACAGGGCATACAGATAGAGAATAAGCATTACCATAAATTCTTGCTAGAGCTGAAGTCTGTTGGTCTACAGGGAGGTTTTATTGATAACACATTTGAATTACTTTCCTTTTGTAAGCACCATAAAGGGAGGATGGAAAGGAACAGCTTAAAGGTGTCTCAGAATTTAACCCGGAACTTCTAAACTGACATCAAGGTTTGTTGTCAGAATATAGCATTGAAGTACTAGGGCAATCTCAGCAGATACATTTATGGATGCGTCCATACCTGTATTATTCCTGGAACAAGCATGTGACAATTGAGGCAAGAACCATGCTTTGTAAATTAAACTTCATAATTTGTGGGTTTATACAGCTGTATCACAAATTTACTCCAGTGCTAATAAGGGGGTGTCTGTTCCACATAACTGCAGTCATTTGGGCAACAGCGGGGCCCCTGTCTGAGAGGTTTGTGGCTGCTGTGTGTCTCCTTATTGGGATGCGTTGCTGTAAAGATCAGTCAGACTCCACATTGTTTTGCTTCAGTGTCTGCAACAAAGGGCGGTGAAGCAGAATGCGGCATTGCCGGCACTGCCTCTCCCTGCTCTGACATCAGCCAAGTCATTTGACCACGCCTGGTGCAAAGCAGGAATATCTCTGAAATTTAACTATGAATGAGTGCTTCCGGAGGGGAGAGAGTTGTTTTGGAGCCCATCTCTGTTGCTGAATGCTGGAGGCAGTATCCTAGGCGCTGAAATAGCTTCTTCCTTCCCTCTCCATTAGAGGCTTGGACTTTGAAATACCGCTGCGATATTAAAGGTGGATTCAGGACACCGCTCCTCCCAACTGAGTGTCCTTCTGCCACCTGGTGTCTGTAACGCACACACTGGCAGGGCTTTTAGCAGTTATTCTTTGCCTCCCACTGAGAAGTGGGTATTTTACTTTCAGTGTATTTGAATTAATGGATCAGTATAACTGGAGCATAAGGGGATTGTTGCTAGTTTCCAGTCTGATACTATTGGCTTTGCAGTCAGAAATCCCTATACTTTCTGTTCTCTAGCAGTTTCAAGAAATTCCTATATAGCTCTGTAGTTTCCTATTAGGTGGGCCACTTGGATGAAGGATAAGTGTGAGTGAAGTGAAGCTGTTGACCGTCTCTTACCAAAATGTCAAGACTTAAGTTGTGGCATGAATGCATGGCAGGGTGCTGAGTCTTATGTTTGCTCGATGTCTGCAGAGTTGTTTTCTGATTGGCGTGTTGGTTTTTTCTAAGTCCATTTGTTCTGTTCCCTCAGCTGTTGCTTTTCTGTTTTGCTTTTGGCTGCACTAACTGAAGCTCTTTCTATGTTTTTACAGGCTCTTTCTTGATAAGGATATGCCTAGGTATTTTCTGTTTGCTTTCTTTTTACATAAAGATTCTGCAAAATAGAATGCTTTATGTTCGTTTGTATTCCCGCCACTTCCCTTTTAGCTTTATTGAATTCTGTTAGCACACCTCTTAGCTGTCAGAAGTAGTGTGCCACCTCCTCCTTTCTAGCAGGGCTTTATTCAGGTACAATTCAGTGGGAGATTTGTTGAAGGTAAACTTCCCATCTCATGTAGAGAGAGTTTCCTTCGTTCAGTCTTTCTGATTCTCAAAATGTGCCATCAGAATATAGTCCCAGTTTGTAGTCCCTGCTATTTTCTTCCATTGTTCTGTATCAAAGAACTAAATTTGTAATTTCTCACTGTCTCTAGCTCTGTAATGCTTGCCCTGTTTGAAGTAGGAGTCAAGGACTGAATGATTAGGTTACTTGAAATTCCAGCTCGGAATTGCACTGAACAAAAAGCAGTGGCTGCCATGTGACTGGCATTCAACCTCTGTTCTTAGGTTGGATTTGCATCTGAAATTTAACCATGTGGTTGCTGCTTCTTAGCTGAGCAGTTGGCAGAGAGGCTGGACATGTAGTGGCTGCTCAGACTGGATTCCTTGTTCACCTTCCAGACTGGATCACAGCCAAGCTGTGCTGGCTGCACAGTCCGGGACAATTTACACTCTGCTTTCTGTGTTCCGCCTCTTTGAAAAAGAGAAGACTTACGTCTTTGTTGCTCTCAATTCACCACCTCTCACTAATGCTAAAATCCACTTAAAAGTCAGTCCTAACTATACATCGATGCCTTTAACCTGCGTCTCCTGTTTTCCACGCCTTACCTGTTCTGTGCTTCATTTTCCTCCTTGTGCTGTTGGTTATGCTGAAAGAAGTGGGCTCACTTCTGGTGTTTGTCTCCCTGTATGACTATTCTAGCAAGTTCTGGTTTGGATGGGCAACGCTGTGTATATTTAACTTCTGGGCTAGACAAAATTTAGTAGAGTAGCTGTCTTGAAGCTATGTTTGACTTCAACTTGGTGTTCATCCAAAAATCAGCATATTACAAAAGAGGTTTGCATTTAGTTCTGCACTGATGAACATTTACACCTGCGTTCTCTCTCCATGATGAAAAGTCGTGTTTGGCAGTTGGTGCAGAGGTGATTCAGGGGCTGGGTGCACTGCCTTTCCCATCTGTGGAGAACCAGGTTTTACTACTTTTTTTTTCCACCCAGACAGTAGATCTCGAGCTTGCTAAAAGTCTAAAAATTGCTCTCATAACTAAGACATAATGAAAGATTAAAACATAAAGGCTCAACACAGATTTGTAAAGGATTAGAGAGCACCCTGTGTCGTTTGCCTAATCTCTCTCAAGTAAGGATTGTTATATTACAGTGCTTTGAAATCTACCAATTACTTAGCCCTTAGAGTATGTTTCTCTGTAGCATTTTTAATACAAGCAAGCCATTTAGAAGTAATTTGTTAAGTGTGCTACTTCAAACGCAAAATTATTAGCAGTGTACCAAATTATATTACTTGACTGCACAGTTCATGGTGTCTTGATGTATTACCTTGGAATTGTGTAATAGGTATCAAGAAAAGGAGATTCTTTGAAACTCTATTTGAGGTCAGAAGGCTTTTTCTGATTTGTCTGGTCTTAGGCTGTTTCATGTTTCTTTTGTTTTGTTTTGGTTTTTTATTTCTTCCTTCCATGCCCACTTTGCTTTTGGTCATTTGTCTTTGGTTTCATTTTCTATTTTTCTGAGTTAGTGTTGGACATTAGTACAGAAGCTCTTTAGAGATATCACTTGTTTTTAAAAAATAATATAAATGAAGCACTTCCTTGCTTTTAGTACAACATCATTTGGACTAAAATGGGAAGAAAAGACTTCAATGGCAAGGGGCTTTGGGAGGGAAATTATATGGACGTGATGAAGAATTAGTACCTTCTTTTTCTGTTGCCAGTATAGAAAAGCGTGCTGTATTCCTGAACAAGGGTACAGGACTTCCTTTCAAAGGAACCTACATGAAATCAGTCTCCACCTCTGAGAAAGGAGAAAGCTTATTTCCCTAAGCCCCTGTCAGAGAGGAGAGTGTGTAATGGTGACTAGGCCTGATGATTTGGCTGTTCTGTGTATGATGCTCTCTCACTTAAACAGATGAACTTTCCTGATTGCTGGGGTAGACCTGTGGGAGCCTTTAGCTCCTTTCTTTCCATGTACCAAACTGAAGAATCTTTTTACAAAAGTTTGTGTTACATCTGCAAGTTTTCACTTGAAGCGAGCAGGGACATAGAAATAAATCTTTATCACTTGAATATAGGACTTATCCCTACCCATCAATCATTCTGATTTGCTATCAGAAGCTGCTGGTTTTATATGACTAAGTATTAGAGGGATTTCTTCTGTTGCTATGTGTTAGTCCTAAAATATGGTGTAGAATGAGTGTTGCTTATAAAAAAGAATCTTCCCACGTACTTTAAAGGTCCAGCTGTGCTGAATTGCACCTGAAGCAATAAAGAGGAATTCTGTCTGTTTAGAAACACCGTTCTTTAGTGCTGACTTCCCTGTAGTGTTTTGACAGCTTTTCTTCTCTCCTATAGTCCCTCTTTTCTCTTTTAGCTCACTCTTTCTCATAACAGGCAATAGTCTCTTATGTCACAGTATTTGAGGTAAAAGTAAGTAATTTTGGGAAAGAAAAGTCTTTGCTTCAGGTATTTGTTATCTAAGCCACTGAGATCAACAGCAGTCAGTGGATGATGTCAAGGAAGAGATGCTTTACACTGACTGTTGAGGGGGATGCAGAGGAACTCTTACTATTGAGCTTTTACTGTACTTTTTTCTAGGACTTTCTATCGGTTTGAAGCAGTCTGGGATAGCTCCTTGCATAACTCCCTTCTACTCAATCGAGTGACACCGTATGGAGAGAAGATATATATGACCCTTTCTGCTTACCTGGAGGTTAGAGACCTGTGCCTTCCTTTTTCCTTGTGACTCAGTTATAACTATTTGAGACAGCAGACAGTGTGTACCTGAGATAAACACTTACTGGATAAAGTGATTTTGAATCCTGAAGCCAGTGAAAGTCTTCATTAATTTTCTGAGAATAAGGTAGAAAAATCTGACAGTTAACATCTTTATATCAAGGTATTACTGCCTAACAACAAATGTGAAGTGCGAAAGGTGATCTCCGTACCTTTCTGTGCCTCATTTTATCTATCTTTGTATTGAAAATCCATTGACATCAGTGAACATTGATATTAAGGACTACTGATGTTACAAACACTGGCCTAGCTCTGGACTTTGCCTGCAAAACACTGTTGTTTTGTGTAGTACAATTATTTCACCCACAAGATGCATCAAGAAATTTGACAGTTCTCTTTCACAGAAACACGTACAAAAGCTCTTCACCGAAGACCCAAACAAGAACAAATTTCAAAAAGCTGTCCCACTAAGAAGGAAGTGGAGTAACTTGGCATAGCTGCAGCCACTCATTCATTGCTGCTTTTTCTTTTAGCTTGACCACTGCATCCAGCCTGCCGTTATAACAAAGGATGTTTGTATGGTCTTTTACTCACGAGATGCCAAGATCTCCCCACCACGCTCACTACGCAGTCTCTTTGGCAGTGGCTACTCCAAATCTCCAGATTCGTAAGTTCAGTTACCAATTTTGGTATTAGTGGTTTATGTCAGTATGTGCTATTTTTCTTAGAGAGCACGGGGAGAATGTAGCTTAACCTTCATTATTCATTCCTTGAAAATCTACCTAGTTATAGTTCTCCAGTCTAGTTTTGAACATTCTTTCTTGTATTTATTTCAGTGAAACTCTAATGGCTTCTCTCTTTACTGACCCCTTTTCCAGCCTTCTGACTGAACAGCTGGGAAGATAGATCCATTTTTCCAGCTTGCACATAGAAGACCCTGATCCTGAACTGGAATTTACTGTGGCAGCTGCTCTCTTGAGTCTGATGGGAGGTGGAGGGAACATGGGGGAAATTCCATTTTCAGAGATCTTGCAGTCTGTCCTGGCTATTTTATGTCAAGATTAGAATTCAGGTGTCATTCTAACTAACAACTATACTTAAACTTCTAATTTGGGGACCACTTAACTAGAGCTAATGCACTTTATTTCTGAAGATATTACATTGTTTCTTTTCTTTCCCCTTCCTCTGGTTTCTTGTGAACAGCAATCGAGTAACTGGGATCTATGAACTAAGTTTATGCAAAATGGCAGACACAGGAAGTCCAGGTAAGCAGTGACTGGGTGTTCAAGCGGTAAAGATGCTGTAAACTGAAATATTGTAGACAATTTCATGAGCAGAATGAAGAAAATGGTTCTGTCCTGATGAGAAGTGGTTCGTTTCATGGGAGCAATGGAACATTGCTATTTCACAAAAAAATCTTATGCAGGCTTTTACTTTTGACTTGGGGCTGTGTTTACTGTTGGTGAACCAAGGATTCACTGAAAACTTCACATTTTCTGACATGGGTATATCAGGAAATGGGGCATGTACCTGGGTCATGGACTTAGGGGGCATAATACATGGCTCAAAACTAACACAGCTGAGACTTGGCTTTGCAGCAATAGTGTTTTTCTCTTAATCTTTTGAAGATATTGCTGTTATCTGATACAAGCTTGATAACTTGGAAGCAATGTTGTTCACATAGTATCTGTATATATTTCCTCTAAGACCCAGCAATTGAAGTTCTTGTGTTGAATTAGACTGAACAGGAGTTTGCATTGTATCATGGTCAATAGAGAAAATCGGAATGAAGTAAGAAAGCTGGACTAAATCAAATCTCTTTGGGAGGTTACTGTTAATGAAATCATAGCCATGTAGATTTCCAGCCAAACAGAAGTGTTGCTTCTTTGCAGATGGCTAATTGGTAAATGTTTCTTAGTGGCATCCCTCTGGCTATGTTTTTAACAAGTCTTATGTTTCCTACTGCTCAGGAATGCGGAGGAGGAGGAGAAAAGTCCTGGATACATCTGTGGCATATGTGCGAGGAGAGGAGAACCTGGCAGGTTGGAGGCCCAGGGGTGACAGCCTCATTCTAGAGCATCAGTGGGAACTGAAGAAACTGGAGCTGCTGCATGAGGTCAGGGAAAGAAAAAGCACAACTCTAGCTTTGAATTTGCCTTTAGTCTACCCGCTGTGAGACCTTCTGAGCTGAATGGGTTCCCACGTAGGAGTTTGTTCTCAAAGTCAAGATTTAAATAAATTCTGCAATAGAGAAGATAGAAAGTATGTGGCTGGCTGCTGAGTAGAAGCTTCAGCTCAGAATCTCAGTGTATTCAACAAAGGCAAATTCAACTTCTAGTGCCATTGTAAACTCCCCTCCCCGGGGAAAATGTTTACCAGTATGAATCTTAAAAGAATGCATAAGAATTCAGTGCCTGTAAAATAGGCAACATCCTGGAGCAGATGATACTGATTTCTTTTCTTACTAGGTGGAAAAAACTCGTCACTTCCTTCTTCTTCGTGAAAAGCTTGGTGACAGCATCCCCAAGTCCCTGAGTGATTCATTGTCTCCCAGTATGAGCAGTGGAACCCTCAGTACCTCCACCAGCATTTCCTCACAGATTTCGACTACAACATTTGAGAGTGCTGTGACGCCCAGTGAGAGCAGTGGCTATGACTCGGCAGATATAGAGAGCCTGGTGGATCGGGAGAAAGAGCTGGCTACCAAGGTATAACACGAGAAAAATCATGGGTCTAAATTGAGGCACCAAAGATGGTTAAAGATTAATGATGAGCTTCTCAGATAGCATGGTGAATATCCAGTATAGTGAGTTTCATTTGAATATGCTCTACAGTGAAATAACCCATTCTCACCAGCCAGTGTTGGTGGCTAGGTTCGTGCTATGGCTGTACCTTATTCCCAGTCATTAGTAGTTCTGTAAATGAAACTTTCTAACTTTATTAAGGGAAGTTATTATCCCCCTCTTCTGGGATTTTTCACAGCAGTATTTGTTTATTTCACAAGCTGCCAAGAGTGTCTTGGTAAATTAGCTCTTGTGTTCAAATTTCTCTGAAAATCTAAATCTAAATTTATTTTCTGGGTGTTGTTTGTTTTTTCCCTTCACCGTAGTGTCTGCAGCTTCTTACTCATACTTTCAATCGGGAATTTAACCAGGTGCACAACAGCATCAGTGATTGTAAGGTAAATATTTCATGCGCTACAATACACTGTATTTGTAGTACAATAGCAACGTATTAGTATTAGTGTACTTGTGGAATCTGTTTATATCATGAAAAGACAAAACACCTCATATTACTTTTCTTTATTTTCGGTCTGTGGGGAAGCATTTGACTACACAGTGTCAGGTTCCAAAGACTATTGCAAGGATTAGAAATGGTGTAAACTTGGACTACAGTATAGCTTCTAGTTTCTTAGCAGGCTGGCAGTGCTCTTATCTTTTTTCACTTTCCCTGTGTAAAAGGGTAAATTAGCTCTTTTAAATATTCCAACTGTGGGCACAGGGGACACCAAGTTGCAAAGTAGATAGTCTAATATTCTATTGAAGAAGTCAGAGTGAATAGTCAGAAGTGTAGGACATTAATGACAAGCTGTCTTTACAGAAATGTCATTGTATATTCACCTCCAGATGGGTTTATGATGGTTGTGTGCAAAAATTTGACTGCTGAGTAGGGAAATGACTGATAGAAATTACCTATTACCTGAGCCTTTTGCATGCTGAATGCCATGGTCTAGCCAGGACTGAACACTAGCTACAAAATACTCCTCTTTTTTGTAATACTTTGCCTGTATTTGCCCTTGTAGTTATCGGATATTTCTCCAATTGGGCGGGACCCATCAGTGTCGAGTTTCAGCAGTGCTACCCTCACACCTTCATCTACCTGCCCTTCTCTGGTGGATTCAAGATGCAATTCCATTGATCAGAAGTAAGTATAGGGTTTTTACAGGAAAACATTACTTCTCAGTGTTTCACAAATCTGTTTTTGCTATGTTTTCTGATTTGCCCTCTGAACTTTCTTGCTTTTCCCTACTTTCAGGTATTTATCTGTACGGCCCCCTTGCCTTTTCTTCTCAAGTTACCCTGCACAATTGTTTTTCCTCCATTTTGTTCTTTTGAAGTGTTTTTTTTCTTCTTCTCTGCGATCAAAAAACAGCCAAATTCTTGTCATTCCAGTGACCAGTGCATCTTCAGTGTGTTGAGTCCACAGGTTTTTTTCAGAGGTCTGTTAAAAAGACCTACTAACAACAGCCCAGAGTAAACCAGTTTGGCCAGTAATCTCTGTTTACCTTTCTCAGCTGTATCTGTGGAAGACACTTTTGATGAAATTGTGAATGACTGCTTAGTGAAGGATACATAATACGTACCTTCTCAGTTGACATCCCTTGCTGGTGTAGTACATTTTACATCAAACCACAGTAAGACGTCTCTGTTGTGACAGCGTTTGGCAAGGGAAATGAAGGAGAAGTAGTGAGGAAACAACTTACTAGCAATTATTATAATTTTATTTCACAGATTTCAAGGGAAATGCTATTTGATAGTGTATAAAAGGATCCTAATGTCATATAAAAAGTCTGAACTGGAGGATGAAACTTGTAAGACAGGCTAGGCTGGAGATGCTCTTTAAATTCCATTGTCACATTGAGTTGGTTTGTTGTGATTTACTTTTCTTTCGCTGCTTTTTTTTTTAAGGACACCAGAAGCAAATTCTCGTGCCTCCAGTCCCTGTCATGAGGTGGAACAGTTCCAGCTGATTCCTGCAGTAGAAACTTCCTACCTTGCCAGAGCTGGAAAAAATGAATTCCTAAACCTTGTTCCTGATATTGAGGAAATCAGACCAGGGTAGGTTTTTTTGTTGTAGTGGGTTCCTGGCTTCCTGAGAGCTGTTGCAAGGGCTTTCTGAGATTTGTAGTTTCTTTACCATTTGAGAAAGGTAAATTAAACAGGATAGCAGAACTGCAGAGTTCTGTATGATGGAGGCAGGATTAACAAGAGCTGTGATTTCCAGTCACTTAAATGTCTGCTTTCATCAGAACCATAAAGTTCACTGAAGTAGAGATCTTTGTAGATCCTTCTTTTTGTCAGACTTTTGCTTATTTCTTGAAGACAAAACTCGGCTTGCTATAGGAGAACTTTTTCATAATACTGTTGCAGACAAAATGTATTAAGGTCTAAATGTCTTATACAGTGTTTTGCAGTTAATAGGGATACTCAGTAGGTGCCTTATTTAGGGGAAAATGCATTCCTGTTTATACGTGGGTTTGTTTTGGTTTGTTTTTTTCCAGCTCTGTGGTCTCAAAGAAGGGATACCTCCACTTCAAGGAGCCACTCTCCAGCTCCTGGGCCAAGCACTTTGTGGTGGTTCGCCGTCCCTATGTTTTTATTTACAACAGTGACAAAGATCCTGTAGAAAGAGGAATCATAAACTTATCCACAGCTCAGGTGGAATACAGTGAGGATCAACAGGCAATGGTAAAGGTCAGTCTGAGAGCTACTGTTTCTTTACCTATGGAGAAGGAACGTTACAGGTAGTAGTGCATCCTTACCATCCTATGTGTTATCTCTGGTCCGAGGAAAATTCATCTGTGTCTGAGAAATGTCTGGCACCTGATGATTCTGTCCACAGAGTTCCCAGTTTCTTATGTTGTGGACACAGTTCTACAAGAGCCTGAATCTGACTGCTGTTATGCATTGCATTTGCTTTTATAAGCACATGTTGGTACCATAACCTTGTGTCTTTGATTTTTGTAGTTTTGATTGTGTGCAGTTTGGTGATTGTGTGCTCTGTTTGTTTGCTAAAGAAAAGAAACCAACCAAAACAACACACACAAACACCCTGCAAGGAATCAAAGTAGCTGATCTACCTCAGCAGCATTTAAAGTCCACCCTCATGAGTTAAAACTATTTATATGAGAAGATTACTCATGTGACTGACTAATAATATAGAAATGACCAGTTAAACTTAAATGAAAGTCCTTAGGTCTTGTGGTTTTTAGGAATGTGACATAGCAAACTCTTCCTCAGATAGGAAGTGTGCATCAGCTTCTGTGCTTGTAGAATTCAGTATTTTAAATTGTCCTTAATATTTCAGACACCCAACACATTTGGCGTGTGCACAAAGCATCGTGGGGTCCTGCTCCAGGCCATCAACGACAAAGACATGAATGACTGGTTATATGCCTTCAATCCACTTCTTGCTGGCACAATACGGTAAGAGGCAGTTCCTGGACAGGTAGCGCTGCAAAGCATAAAGATAGCGAGACAGCCATAAGCAAACAGGCAGGTAGTTTGCCTCAGAATTTAATCTTGTTCTGAAGAAGTTGACAAGATGGGTGAACTGAAGGAGGGAGGAGGGTGGCCAGCAAAAACAAAACAAAACAAAAAACCCGAAAACCAAAACAACAAACAAAGAGAAAAAAAATAAATCAAACAAGCGCTGTATTTCAGGAAATGCAGGCACTGTTGCTTTGTTTTGTGACTTTCCTAACAAGTGTATCCAGGTTGAAGATGTGTGGTATGCTTCATGCAATACCACATTTGGAGGCCACAAAATGGTTTCCTTGTATAGCTATATTACAAATTTCTAAAGCTTCTTAGTGCTGCCTCTGTGCAGGTGGGTCTGGACTGCCTTTTCATTGTCTTCATTGTGAGCTAAAGCAGAAATTCTCATTTGAACTTCTCTGGAAGCCTTCCCTTTAGCACAGGTCACAGACATCCCTGCTTGCTGGAGAGATCTAACTACAATACAGTAGTCCTTCCTTCCAGTAAAAGAAAAATAATTGAAAACTAAGCTATTACTGTACAGTGTCAAATAATTTCTTAACAGTGCAGTCCTTAAAAGATCCCATCTTCCTTTAAAGGATCACAGAAGAGCGAGAAGTTGTTCTTTTTATAGCGTGATATATATTATTAATATATAAAATAATATTATTTTACTTTCTAAACATATGGAGTAAACTAAGGCTATACAAAAGGATTTTTAAAAAAGGTGGACAAACTGGGGAGGGAAGAAAAATGAACTTTCAGAATTCAACAAATACTTTTTTACTTCTTTCTTGCACAGGTCAAAACTGGCTCGAAGACACACGGGCCAGCTGAAGTACTGAGTCCATGTAATGTTCTCATCTGTTCTCCCTAACTCACCTTCTGATAGATAGTGTTACCTCTCATTTTCTCTTTGTGATTCTTGACAGTTTCTCTTGTATGTAATCCTGTGGCTTAACATCCCCTACCTTCCCAACTCCTTCAGCACATTTTCTGAGTATTCTAACCCTACATTGTTTCTTTTCACTTGTGTTGAGAATCCTACTAGTAGCATGTGGCTAAAAAATAAAAAATTGAGTGCACGACTCTAAAAAGAAAAAAAAAAGATATTTATTTTTTCTTATAAGAATTGTTTTCTCATTCCAACGGACCTTTTGGTGTCTGTCCCACTGTCCATTGTTGTCTGTCTAGACTGCTGCAGGTTTGTCATTCAATCTGTGACTTGGCAGTAGTCGTTGGTTCCCTCAGGACAAAG